TCACTGCGCGTTGTCTTATAAAAGGTATTTTGAAAATACCTCCAATGTTGTTGAAATTCTCTGATGTTGTCGACAGTTTCCCCAATCCCCAAGCAACCGTGCAGCGGTGCTGCGGTACAGCGGTACGGGCGCAGCAAAGATAAAAACATGTGACGTCACGTCACCACTTCGAGGCTATTTTGTTTGGCAAACAGTTGGCGTTTGCGCCAGAATGCCAGTTTTCTCACCTCATTCTTGTGGGTTTTAAGCAAACGCGCAGTGAAATGGGAGAAACTAGAGTTTATTTTGTCATAAGGTAGTGTGATTATGCATGACACGAAGTACTTGCTAGTCTAGTACTGAAGAAATTAGCGTTTGGATGCGCACTGTGAGCCTTTAAGTGATGCTATGTATAATTAGGAGCAAGTGGGCTGAAAGCTGAATATAGGTGTGTAATAGTTAGCCATGCATATCTGATTATTTGTAATTATGATACCATGAAAACTATTTGTAAACATTTGTAATAAAGTGTAAATATCACAACTGTATGTATGACAGTTTGACTGGCTAATATTTACTATAAATACTCAATGGCACAGATTGTAGGTGATTGTGTACTAAAATTTTCAGGCAGATAAACATGTAAAAGTTGTAATATACACGTACATTACATTTTTATTCAGAAACCCAGCCATTTAATAGCTAATGCACTTTTAAACCACATCAGCCTTGATCTTGATGTGATCGAGATGCAACTAGTGTACTTTTCACAGTAGCATAATAAGTTATTGTAGGAAATGTACACACATCTTTTTTAAATTTAATACATGCATCTATAAATTTATCTCATTTTTACAGTCATGCACAGTTGGCCATGATACTGAGGAATTGCTATTATTACTGTGAATAATAGTAATTCCTTTAAAAATCATAAATAGTATATAATATTACAGACAATACATACATGCGTAAAATAGAAACAGTTTTTAAGATGATCAAACTCACTGTGATGGTGTAGACGGATCAAAGAGTTGTAAGCTAGAACCATATGTAAATAAAACTACTAGATCAGTGAATACCAGTACTATATCCCCACAAAATTTCCAGGTATGTGAATGTGTATGACTTTAGCCTGCTCTTGTTACAAATCTAGTAATAGCTTGCAATATATACAATCTGAAATCTGGGATATTTTATGGACTGATGTGTACCTTTTTTACTGGTTAGAAATCATCTTATTTTCAAATAAAATTGAATACTGTACAGTATTAAGGGCCGCCACATTTAGAATGAAGAAAGGGATGGGTGGAGAAAGCAAGGAAGAGGGAGAAGTGAGAGAAAGCGAGAAACAACTGATTCCCAGTGCATATAAATATTTTAAATTAAATTCTGCAATATCTATAGTACAGTTATACATACGGGTACGTGCAGATACACAAACCCTCCAGAGTTAAGGAAGATTGAAATGGCAGTGAATCTATGATCTTACTGAACTGTATACAGGGTAATTGTACAGGAAATATATACATGACCAAACAATGCATTGTAATATTCTAATAAACATCTTTACAAACAATGCACGAATAAGAGGCGAAGTGCAGGGGCAACAGACGCAAATTTTATACAGCAGTGTTTATAATAAACAAATGTATAAATATACATATAGTAAATGAATATAATGGTGCAGAACATTATTTACAAAACCTCACAACAATCAAACTTCTTTCCGATCTTTGTATATAAACGTGTGTTGCACAATTATTTGCTTAACAGTACACATTAAAAATTCAATAATGCTTCCTGGAAATAACTGCAATAAACTGTTGAATGTCGCAAATCAACACTCGTTTCCCAGCATTGATACGTAATTTTGATTTGCAGCTACAGGTGTATTATCAAAGTACATTTTTGATCATAACTAAGAAATCCCGTGCTCTGAGAAATAAGCATGCATTTTCTAAAACAAAACTAATTGCCTTCATGCTAGTACTTCCTGGTATATATACTAAATAATTACCTCACATGGTGAAAACTAAGTGCACATGCTCTATGCAAGTTTACTCACAGAAAGTAAATAACTCTGAGAAAAGGCAACAATTCTGAGCGAAATACACGTTGGAAAGTTTGAGCGAAATTCACGTTAAAAACTTTGAGCGGACACCAATACACACACGATCAAAATGACATGCGTCACTATTTCCCTCCACTCCACACAGCTGCACATGCTTGATACAGTCCTGAACATGAGCCCTTAACAAGGCAATGGTCTACTACATGAACGAAATCTATGTACATGTATCGCAAGATGAAATCATTAATTAGTTGTTTTCATTATTAGCACTCGTTACATTAGATGACGTCCCAGAAGAAAGTTGACCTCAGCAATTGGCCACAACCACGAGTTTCGTTCGCCCACACTACTGGAAGTCAACATTATTTATAAACGGCCCATGGCCATGGTCTACTCATTAGAAACGATACCGTCCACTGAAGAGAAAATAGGCCGTATCATTAGTGCTGTAGTGCGAAGAAATTATGTAAGGAAAATAGTAAATAAGTAGGTATGTAGAAATTTAATCCCACACAAAAAGGTCTTGAAAGGGCTATTGTTTTGGTAGGCAGTCCTCTTCATAGCTAACATATGCGGAATACTATTTGCGATTTGATCAAGCGCATCATTGATCCCTGGGCAAGGATGTGCAATAAATAAGTTTCACCCACCGCGGCTTACATTTACAGTCAATAATGGGTGAGCGAGTTACATATAATGATGCATCAGTTGTATCGGAAACTTACTTTTCCGATACCTACAACATTTTGAGACTCCCATTCACGCTCTATCTTAGCAGCGCAATACCCGGCATACGCAAGTCTGCAGCTTGGCGCGCGTTTCTGCACGGCAACACGCCCCAGACAGCGCTAACAGGAGCTGCTACGGAACGCGGCGTTGTCCGCGGACACGTGGTGCATGCCGGGAGACAGCGGCGGCGGCGGCGGCGCCAGGTTCTCGGAGTTGTGGTAGCGATCCTTGAGCTGCGTGAGCGCGGCCAGCAGGCGGTTGTTTGCGCTGTCGAGCGACTGTATGCGCCGCTCCTGCGCGTCGATGATCTTCTGCTTCACGACGACGACGTTCTGCATCTCCTGCTGCTCCTTGCGTAGTTCCTCCTCGACACCGATCAACCTGCGATCACAAGGAGAGCCGCGTTCGTTATCGAAGTGTCACGACTGCCTCTGTAGCTATCATCGAGCCCACGTTACATGTGTGCATGCTTGCAGCCGTTTTAATAAATATAAATAATAAGCATATATATATATATATAAACATTATCAGGGGTTAATAATGACAAATTTGTCATTATTAACCCCTGACATTATATATTATATATAAACATTATCAATACCACTTATAAGTTTAAAAACTAAACGGCTATGCCCAAAATAGATGACAAATTGCTCAGTAGTCTGATGAAATTCTGAATCACTATATCATAAAAAAGTTATGAAAATAACGTGCACATGGTAACATCTCTATTATACCTACTTGGTAAATTTTACACTTAAATAATGCCAAACAATGTAACAGTTGAGTTTACGCCACTGGTACTGACGAATACATATGATAAATTACATTAACTAAATTTTTTTGATGACAACTTAACATGACAGTCATTTGCGAAGAGACAAAAGCTGCACAAAAGCAAATAACACGTGTACAGAAGCTGACGGACGGAACATGCTTGTAATGTAAATCGTGAATTTATAGACCCTTTCACTTAGATGCAGTCATTTTATGAAACACTAGGTGTTTCACACACCAGGTAAGCCCAGGATAAACGCAAGACTGCGAACTAATAATATTTTGGTAGCGACACTTTGACAACAACCGTTATGTTCGGCAAAGTTTGGTGTGAAAAGGTCTATTACATGGAGTACATTGTAACATGTAAATTCTCAAAACACATAATAATAAATACATAATATACATAATAATAATCATGTAAATGTTAAAACACGCAACATGTATTTCCCCGTTAAATGTTTACCTTGACACTGGTTCACACTGTGTGCATGTGATACAAAGAAAATTACTTCATTTTTTACACCACTTTAATACTGACACTATTAATTTGCCACGTTGTAAAAAGCGTTTTTTAAATTACGACTTCAACATCTTATTTGTACATAAATACATACATACACATAAATAGACATCTGTGTTCAACACGTTCAACGTGTAAGGAAAAGGACAACATTGCAGCGGCAATCGCACCAGCTCTATCAAACCATCCCTGTGAGCTACGAGGGTTTCTGTGTGCTATGGGAGAATATAGACACGAGATGAAAGACCACAAGATGGTGGGTGATATTACAAATCCACTGAAAGCGATAAGACAGAGCACAAGCATCTACTCCCCAGTGCGATATACAAGCATCCTGATGATCGTATGCCATGTGTCTACTGTACGCACGGGACAGCAACTCTCTATAGGTACCTAAAACTGTTGCAGTACACCTGCACCATTCCATCTGTGTCTAAAGCATCCTGCAGCAGAGCGATCACTGCTGCATTTCTATCGACCGTTTCCTGGAAAACAGTTTAATATAAAACCCCTTTATCCTCATGTCTGCATTTTGAAATTGTGATACTATATAGGATAGCACCAGTTGTAAACGGCCCTTCATAACCCTTTAACCAGTGCATTCAGTCACTTTTGCCTAACACCCTGTATGACAGGCAAAGTTGCCCAATTTTAAAGACCGTTACACTGTTTACACCAGGTTGCACAATTTCGCTTTGACCTTAAGACCCAATCAGACATTGGCATGTGCCTTTGTTCGGTGGATTGGCCACTCAGAAATCACTCGGAAAGAAACCGTGACTGTTCGGGTTGAAGATCGGAGTGAAAAGGGCTACAGTTGGACCTCTGTCGAGTAACAACGGTACGCCCACGCACGCACACGCACACTGTTGAACACGGCTGCCAAGAGGGAACACGGGGAGAAGTGTCAATCGGTAGCTGGAACCACGGCAGCCGTCACTGCAGCCGGCGACTCTCTCTCTCCTGCAAGGCAAAAAACGTCGCAGCAACTCGCGCGGGCGCCCTGCGGCTCACCTCGCGATGATGTTCTTCATCTGCTGATCCTTCTCCTCCTGCTGCTCACTGAGCAGCATCTCGCCCTCCTCGTAGCGGCTCTTCCACTCGTGCACCTCCTCCTGCGCCTGCTTGTTCTGCTCGGACAGCCGCTGCTCAGCCTCGCCCAGTTGTAGCTGCATCTGCTGGAGCTGCTCCTGCAGCAGCGACACCTGCTCAATCAACTGCTGCAAGAGGCAAGCGATGCATGACATTACACATGCGGAAGGCAACGTATTAGCCAGCGAGCCGTGCAACCGTGATTTGCACGTTCAGTTTTGAAACTGCACGGCCAAAAATGTGTAGCACGGCCTAAAATATTGATCTAAAGCCGTGTACATTGTAAAAATTGCACTCTCAAACATTTTTTCTGCACTCCCACAATACTCATTCCTGGCTAATACCCTGACGGAAGGCACGAGGGCTTCGTGTTGCTATTGTTAATATGCACGCTGGGGTACATACACTCAAAACACGATTTGACGCACGTACAAGATCACTTGTCACAGGCGACTAAGTACAATCCGGTACAACGCAAGTACCAGCTGGCGAGAAATTAGTGACTTAGAAGCTATTACTTACTAGAAATTGCTTAATTTTCAGAATATTTCATATGCTTAGATATCTGTAAGATATTACTTGATAAAGCCATCTTACTACATGTTTACATGAGCGAGTGCACCTTGTGAGAATTTAGTAAGTACAAGTACTTAAGAACCTAGTGCTTGCAAGTACTCGCTTAAGAACCAAGCGGAGTTTCCATATAACTGTGTCATTAAAGTAAGTCGGCATGTATGGAATAGGGACCTAGACTGGTTCTATAGGGTGCATGTCAACTACCCAACTCTTAGATGCCATGAAGCTATAAGACACAGAATGAACATATATGAATGACATAAATATTTGTGCAAACCTTTTCCCAAATTTTTGCACAAACAGGCTTGTCAAATTCGTAACCCGTGTCTGCCACACCAGGGTTTCTTATACATAGGAGGCACAGTGGCGCACCGCCGTTGTCAAATTTAACATCGCCGTTGTGAAAATGTCCGTGTATTGACTGATAAGTATATCCTGTTACGTATCTATATACCTATAAGTATATCAATACATCCTGTATTTGAATCCATCATGCGCATTTTTTTTCCAAACTGGCCATTACTTCCTTTGTCTAATTTCCCATCAGAAGAAACCCTGCACATCCCCTGCCTACCTTTTTCTCTGTGTGTTCGGTCGGCTCAGGTTCCTGCGAGGCACTCTTCCTCGGCTTCGGCCGCGGCCGATTCGCGTGCACCGACTCTAACGTCCAGTACGCGCGATTTTCGACAAGCAGCGAGGAGTCCGACCCGCCTCCAAGCTGCGGGCTCGCCGCCGCCCACGTGTGCGGCGACCGCGCATTGTCGCAGGCGTCCGAGAGCGAGCGAGCGGCCGCTCCCGCAGGCAGCGTGTTCGCGTGCGTCGCGTCGCGCCGCCGCGTTGCCACGGGCAGAGCCACGGACGCGCTCTCGTCCGAGCACGACTCCTCGCGTGAGAGTTTACGCAGCGGGTGCGCGTGCAGCACCGTGCCATCGTCAGCGTCGTCGTCGTCATCGTCGTCGTCGCTGACGTTAGCGCTCACAGAGCTGCAGCTGGAGGAGCGCGACGTGCGGCGGTCGTTGCCGCCGGCAACGAGGCTGAGCCGCTTCACGGGGCTGATCGGGCAGTGGTAGAGCGGGTTGGCGAACGAGAGCGGCGCGGGTCGCGCTGCCGGCGGCGAGCTCGCGACCGACTCGCGCGCCGCCGCATCAGTCGGCGAGCTTGACTGGCTGAGCGCGAACGACTGGTAACCGGACGACGTCACGTTCGACAGCTGGCTGATGCTCATCTGACTGCCCTGCATGTTGTTACTGCCGCCGCCGCTGCCGCCGCAGCGGGTGCTCTGGCCCGCGTCCATCTCGCCCGATGTGTTGTGCTCGTCCTGCATCTCGTCCATGATGCTGATGATGTCCATGTAGTCGCCGTTGCCGACGCCGTTGAGCAGGCGCTTGCGCAGCTGCTCGGTGCGATCGCGATTGCTCTCCAGCGTGCTGTACTCGTCGCTGCTCGAGCTCAGATCAAAGTTGGCGCGCCTCGCGCTGCGCAACTTGGGTTTCGTCGTCGCCCCGCGGCCGAGAGTCGACGTCTTGCACGGCGCGGACACCATCGTTAGGTCACTGGTGCTCGACAGACTCGCGTCCGTGTACTTCTTGTTAGGGGCCGCGCGCTGCCTGCTGCCGCTGCCCGTCGGGTTTTTTTGGTCCTCGGAGATGTTGAGTAGAATCTCGTGCAGCTTCACGAGCTGTGTGGGACAGGGCCCCTGAGAAAGGAAGGCGAATATTAGCCACGATATCAGCAACGCGGCCGCCTGTGTCTTACTCAAATGCAGCTGTTCAAAAACAACCTTAGATCTAGTTGCCCCCCCCCCGGGGTATTTCCGAGTTTTGCAAGCACGGAAACATTTGGAGAAACTAGATTGAAAGTTTAATAGAATTCTTGCTTGGACCTATTTGAAATATCTGCAAAAAACTAGAACAAGTTTATTCCATAGCCTACAGGCATTTTAGAATTAGTTTAAAAATGCCAAAATATTTATACATATATATATATATATAGAGAGAGAGAGAGACAGGGAGATGGGAGGGGCTAGGGAAAGAGATGAGGGTGCTAGGGAGGAAGGCAAGAGGAAGGGAAAGAGAGAGTGAGATGGAGAGAGATTCGTACCTTATTCACTTTGCGTAGGCTTTCACTGAGGACAGTGTGCAGTATGGAGAGTTCTTTCCCAAGGTCAATGTAGCCATCATACTCCAGATAATTGCTATCGTCTTTGGATGTGGTCTGCAAAGAAAGTTTTAGAATTTCACATCACCATACTTCTGTTGATAGAACATTGATTGCTCTTTACAAATTTAGTTCAGATCTGAAAGTAAAAACACTATAGTGTAAAACCAGCAATATATGGTTACTGCAAGCAAAAAGGCCTTGAGGGGTGTATCACGGTAGGCGTATCTAATGACTTACTGATATTTGTCGCAGGAAGCTTTTCATGTTGCCCCATTGATGCTCCACAAAATCGTTCATGAATTTCATGAACTCCTCCTTACTTCCAAACCTGAAAACGCAATGCGAAACGGATTAGCAATGTAATTCATATAAGATACTACATGCAAACCCAAACTATCATTATTCAATATATTTGATACCGATACAACAATGATTTGCATAAATCATCAAGGATGCACACAGATGCATGTAGTAATATTTAACAACACTCACAGCAATGCAACTGCATAAGCTACACAGACAAGGATTGCATCGCAGAATGCATACAGTACCTGTTAAAATTTGCCAAATTTTGGATAGTTTTGGCAGTCATCGTGAGATTCCGTGCCGCCCGGTCCTGTGGGAACTCTTGCGTCAAGCCAAATAGGCTAGGGGCGAGGATCGCTGGACACAGGAACCTGTACATAGAGCAATTTTTATGAATAACTGCACGCGAATAGGCTAGCTTTACACGATGGCCAAAATATGCATACCCCATTCGTTTGATTGCGCACGCCTGCTATTATATGTGAGTTTTATTGCAGGTAGTCACTTGGTGCGTGTCAACAGGTGGCGTGCCAATGAATTTATGTACCCAAATCATCTGGGATGCAATATAATCTTTTATGCATTAATCAGATTTGCATTATATATCGCACGTAGCGGAAGCATCCTATAGTACGATTGTCGGGGTGGCTCGTAACCGATTTTAATTTTACACCCCAAACCTTCGAGACAAAGGCGTCAACAGCGCCAACACTCTTTGACGTGCGCTACTTGTTATTTCGTGAGCGTGCGCGCGTCCATCACGGCGCGTCAATCACACGCGGGCGTTTTACGAGGCGCCGTAAAGCTCACCGCAGGAAGATGCAGCTGGAGATAAGGTTGTCGGCGATGTCTTCTTGCTCGCGCGCCACGAGCTTCTCGCGAATCATGCCGAACACGGCTTTCAGTTCACTGCGAACGCAAATAAAACATGATTGCAGGGAAAAAAAATAAAAAATAATAAATAAAAAATAAGAAGGAATAAAACAAACTGCACAAACGATTTCTAGGCGAGTTACTGTCCTTCGGGAAGGCTGGCTTGCCTTTAGAAGCACGAGTGGAAGTGAGCAACATTATGATGATGAGTGATCATTGTTATTTGACAGTTACATGATTCGAACTCGAAACGGCCATTATAGATGTTGAGAATTAAATCTGATGCTTTGGGGCCGGTTGTTGCCCTACATAAAGGATTTTGCATACAGACAGTACAAACATAAGTCGCGCAGCCGTGTTAATCTGAGAGAATAGGATGTCGACGCAATAGAGGATCACATGCTAGCGCTATTAATGTCAGTCAGTCAGTTGTTCTATGTGAAATTGGGTCAGCCACAATAAAAACAATCATATCTAATACGAAAACGAGCTACAGGCCAGTGGAGATTACCTGGGAAAATAACAGCCTGAGTTGATGATCTTACACCACACCATCTCACAATACATTGTCAAGCTGGCTTGATGCTTTGCCAAACTGCTATTGTTGGCCACCTTCGTGGGGTCGACCTACACACCACGGAAAAAGCAAAACTGGTGACGCTGACATTATACACGAGCATAAAAACAACTTACAAGTGAAACAATTAAGCTAAAACCCACAATCTCCAGTACAGAGAAGGTAGGTACCATATAGGGACCTTGCACATCGACCGACTTCAACTACTTGTTTCGCAGCTGCGATTCCTACCTCGCAGTCATCCTGCGCATCCAGCACCGTCTTGATGAACTCAGACAGTGTGTCTTGCAGGTACTTCTCACCGACTAGCTTCATGTACGCCTCCATCGCTTTGGTTGCTATCGAGTTGCCCCGGAACGTCAAGTTCTCGTGCTCTGAAAACGGCGCGAAAATTGAGCGTTTTCATAGCCGGCCGCGCCAAGATAATCCTGGTCTCATCTTGCCACTGTGTTCCCGTGCTGTATTCATAGTAACCATTGAGCTGACACCCGCGTGAATGCGAGGAAAACGTGCGCTGTTGACTTAACACATTCGCGAATTATTTTTCTTGTTGCAGACTGTGGGGCATAAACGGCGGTGGTGTTGACAAAGCTGTTGCCGTGTGAACAATGATCGCTGTGTTATTCGGTAAGTTAAAATTCAAACACTTCGTCGCTTACAGAACGTCTGTCCCTATGCTGATGGATATATGGCCATGCAGATAAAGGGAGTTAGCAAAGCAGATGCACAGTAAGCAGATTTGCGAGCAAAATGCAGCTGCGACAGATCTGTTAATGCAGCAGCCTCTCGCCCACGTATTCTGTTTACATATCAGTCGTATCACCCCAGTTACACACAGCATGGTGCTGAATTAATATTTGTACAGGCATCCGAAAGTGTTTCACTCACTGAGGGTTTTTATGGATGATTACCATTATACTTATTCTACATGTGCTCTTCACGTTCCAGTATTGTGAAATGTAGGGAGGACATATAGGGTGAAAGCATAACAAATCAAGAGCTTCACATTCCAACCATCCAGTATGAATACCATAGTTTGTGAAACTTGTGTTAATAGGTACAACTGTAATCGGTCCTTAATCCTGTAATCGCTCTACCTAATACTAAATGTCAGATTAAAGGACAAATATTTTAAATAAATCCTTCATAATTTGTTATAAATAATTGCGAAAACAAATCAAACTACTGATTACTTAGCAGCCAGGACCACCACTATACTTGTCACATTCAGGGTTGAAGGACTGATAGGTATGACACAGTGAAGGACTGATAAGTAAAACAATAAATTTCTTGTAGCACTACAAACAACTATGGGAATTTTTTCCCCACGCAGGAACAATTTAAATGCACGGGTGTCCAAAATGGTTAATTTGTGCTTGTGGGGGTTGAGAATCTATGATTAATTTATACGTAACGCAATTCAACACGAAACTTCATCGTAGGAATCACACAGCATCATAGGAATACTGTCTCTTACCTAACCGGTCAACATCAGCCATAACAATATCACAGAGAAACTCCTTCGCCTTGCCGCGCTTCTGCATTATATGAACCATCTTGGTAGCTAGGTCTTCCTTGGCCTTCACACTTATCACTGGCTCCAGCATCTCACACAAGTGCTTGTACTCTGCTGATATGTACTGCAGTAGAGAGCGTAAAATACAGAGTCAGTGCTGACGGCAAGCCAATATAAATTAGGCAAAAACCTGGAGCAAACACTTACTTTTTCTTTAACCAGCTTCTAAAAGAACCTGATTATATATATATGTTAATAGGACGACAGAACAATGACTTACAATTTTAAGCAACAACACTCCCACTGCGGGTATTATTGAGTTAGCCTATATTTGTTGATTAATTTTGACTATATTATAATAACTATAAGACTATACACTATATAAACACCATAATATGATATAATCATTCAACAATTATCGGGATGTCACCTCTATGTAGGACGCCTATATGTAATATTTAGTAAACTAGCAACCTTTAGATCACAGAACGAATGACAGCATTCTGATTATTATCATTAATATCAACCCATGGATGTAATTGTAAAGTCAATGTATCTCAGCAGGGTGTGATTTCAGCATTAAACTAACAGTACACTACTAATAGTAATTTACATATAAGTAGGCAGGTGGACTACTGATCAAAAAGCTGATCATAACTGGGTTTAATAAACACAGATTTGAATTATTTCCCTTTAGTGCCGAGTTTAGTACAACCTTGCTCAAAATAAACTCATAAAAAGCCCAACTGCAGGCATAAACATGCTAAAAACAGCGAATAAAACAACAGAAACGTCGGCAAAAACATCCAAACTACCAGAATAAACGTTTACGAAATTTAATAGACCATATGCCGACGACCGAATGCTTACTTTCGCACCCAGCTATGCCATTACAGATTGCTTATCGACGAGCGAGGGCTCTAGCAATTCCTAAAAGTAGCCCTGTGAATTTTGCGACGTAAATTCCCCGGCGTCCGACCGTGGTACTCACCGTAATGAGATCCTGGTAATATTCTAGAGGCAGAATGTTGACTGACTGGTAGCGAAGCTTGAGGCGTATCCCGACCGTCTCCGACTTTCCCGGCTTCACCATCCCCAAGCACGTCACAGGATACCTGGAAAGTAATTAGGTTCGTAGTGAGTGAAGCGGATACTTGATACGTTAATGTTGAACGCTGTCAAGGATGGCTGATCATCGTGGAAATTGCGCTGTGGCATGTAAACAGTGCACAATCAATGGTGACTATATGATTGCATGATGATGATGAGTCTTGCATTGACAGTGAGCCTTGGGCAACCAGATCCGAACACACTTTTGATCATCTTTCAGTTCGTTCCTCGCATACGCACACGCACGCGCGTACAGCATGCAACCACATATATAACAACCACACGCCATGCACGTACTGTTCACACACTACGCAAACGTGCCGTGCTAATACGCAACGCTCGCATACAATTGAGGAATGTACCCACGCCTGACCAATCCATCACTCATTTTTGCAACGAGCAAAACGTGACTGACGTGTTGCAAATTGCACAGCAGCAATGCTAGACACTCCGCCAACATCCCTCGATCCCCGACCTCCAACCGGCTGCGTACCAAGATTTTGTCTTGGTATACTTTAGTATATTTATTATTAAATTTTCATTACGTGTGTGTGTGTAAAAGTGATGTATAATGTATGATAACAGGGCCTACATGGAAACCAGCTCTGTTGTTGTTTTGTAGCTACCCTGTTTTGATAAATAAAATATACTACTACTACTACCATTTCTCTGTAAACGTGCGACTGTTGATCGTGTCCACGGGTATGCTGACCACACCGATAAGAGAATTCTTCTCCTTCTTCTTCTTCTTGTCTGCCTCTCTGTACAGATTGATGTTCACCGTGCTCATACCAGGAAGATTGCTGCGGAAGACGGCGACAGACATTTATTACCATTATCAGCAAAACTATACACGCGCACACCAATCTATGCTAACACTGCGACCAAATTTGTCTCAATTCGCGAAAACGAGGGTCCAATGTAAACGGATCGCCGGCTGGCTGGAACCAAAAATAATTTCAGGATATTGATGCGCGTCTAGTAACAGTGGGCTAGCAAACAACATTCTCCAGACATTGTGCATCATAAATCTGTATGTAATGGAAGTAATGGATACTCTCGTGTGCTAGAATGGGAATCGATAATGGAAATGGCAGACTAAAAATAATAGGCAGTGTGACTCATCATAAACATAGGCTGGCTGCACGACTTTCCCCCTCCCGTACTGCTGTGATTTCCATTAGGTAAATGTGCTATGTATACAGTATATATATATATATATATATATATATATATATATATATTATATATATATATATATATATAATATATATATATATATATATATATATATATAATATTTATTTATTTATTGATTCATTGATTTATTTATTTATTTATGCATACAAACCTGAATTCAAAGTTTTCTCCCCAGAAACACATGTCGACTTTCTGCTTTGAAGACGTTCTTGCATAAAGGGTTTTATCGAGGCAAAGCTCACAAAAATACCTGCAACAAAACAAACAATTCTTCATTATTTGCTAAAATGATCACGTTCAAGAAAATATATGATAAATCAAATCATTCATGTATCCTAATACAAACGCAGCATACGGCAGACAGTATTTACAAACACTAAATGTTTGAAATCTACTAGCTATTCTGACTGTGGCCGTATAATGTGATATTCTGCAACATTACACTCAGTCATTGAGAGATTATTAATAGTATTCTGTCTGAATTCGATCAAAAATCACAAATTCAAACACAAAAATTCGGGTCGACTACGAATTTAGATGACAAAGGCGAAGATAGATGAAGAGTTACACACTTAACCATGTACCACACACAACTCACCTTTTCTTGACCTGAACTCCTTTCGTTTCTAATATCCATATTTGTAAGGAATTGTCAGTTCGCTTGCTTCGATCTTGGCTCGGATTAGCTGCCTTCGCAAACTGCAAGTCGAAGTCATTCTGAGGGGACGCAGATTTGGTCACATCTGACGGCACAACACATTGCCAACAGGGAGAAGTGCTCAGTAGAGTAGCACCTCTTTATCGAACAACTGAACTGTGTCCGTCAGTATCGTCAGCTTCGATTGCGTTAACAACGAGAGCAAGGACATTGGCAAATATTTGGATACAAGTGACACGATAAAAACACAACACGACCTAGCGCGCTTGTTTCTCCTTCTCCCCTTCAACTTTAAGCTACTTCCTCATTCCTTCCTCCATTCCCTTTTCTTTCTCCCTCCTCTCTCTCTCTCTCTCTCTCTCTCTCGCTCCACTCTCTTTCTCTCTCTCTCTCTCTCACACTCTCTTTGTATCTCGTTCTTCGTCTCTCCCTCCCGCCATCCCCCTTCTTGCTCTTTCACTTGCACACATGTATCACATTTTTATCAAAAGTCTTGGTGTCTGTGATAACACCAAACGCGTGTAGATATTAAAAAAATTTTAATTAAAAACAAAATATGAATATAGAATAAATTTATAGCGTAGGCTACCTCTGTATCCACTTCTCGCGCTCCTCGGCTGACTTGCAGCTGTAGTACTTGCTTCCACTGCTCGAAGACACCTGGAAGCAGTGGTCCTGACCCAGAATGCTGCTGTGCAGCCGCTTGATCTGAATGTCGTCTGCCATCAGGTCATGTGACAACAGTATGCTAGATGTGCTGAGCAGAGATTCATGTGACCGAGATGTTCTCATCTTTGGTTGAACCCTGTGTGCGTGTAAATTTTACTTAGATTAGCTATGTGCTATGTACTAGGAATTTAGATTAACCTGAGTCTGGAGTCAAACACTAGCCATTTAATGATCGGACTCGGATTTGAACGGGAGTATGCATGCGTGACTTCCTGAAAATTCCCCTAACATAATTCCCTTACTATATGGACGTTTATTTACATTATCAGAATATTCATTATCGCTATCTGTTAGAATGAGTCAGTTAAAGTGTTTCACATTTATTGGATTTCATTAAAATTCTGAATGCTTATGCAACAAATGCATCCCAAAACGAATATTAACCTGCTCTTTTTGTACATTAGGAACATTGACAAAATCGTGTTTAGAATATTCAACCCCTGGTATGTGTATATACATTATTAACATTCTCTTACAGCATTTACAATTGCCTATCTCTCGCTACATCTAAGTACTTGTACGCTCTTGAATGCTCTTGAAGACGGTTATTGGCTGCCAGCCAGCATACAATGATAACTGGTTCTGCGACCAGCGTGCACACGTAAACGCTCACATAAATTCCCAGGCATAATAAAAGACTGTCGCAGATCAGTGGCTTGACAACCAGGGTAGTAGCCCCCCTCCCCCTACACACACAGGCACTGCGATCCGCATTTTATTCATTTACAATGCATCGAAAAAATCACGGGAAAGGAGTAATAACGGATAAGAGGGTCATACAGGAGGAGCGCCTTTGTCGCAGTCACGCATGGCTCATGGCCATCTTTCACTTGCTGGCGGGCGATCCTATCGCGTTAATCGCGACTAGGGCGACATTGCTGCGCGACGACTCACCCGTCCGATTCCGAGCAGCTTCTCTTGCGCTGGTCGAGTTTCGTCACACTCTTTGTTCGCTTCAAGTTGCTCTTGAAAGACTTCCGAGAAAAGATCCCTTGAAAATAATCCTGTGGCGGCAGGGAGAAAAAAACAAGCGAGGCGGACGTTAGGGGAAATGCTCAAACGTACAATTATCCCGAGCAAATGAGTTATAGATCTCCCTCATCGGAGGAAGTAACGCCGTTCGCAGTGGCAGTGTTAGATTACGTGGATACACCCACCGGACACGCGATTATAGCCTTGCAGAAGGACACAGGGACGGAATATCGCCGAGAATGCGTGTTTCAATGGCCATAATGAGCCAACCTCCGCCACCTCCATTCGGAGCCGATCCCAAAGTGGAATAATTCACTTTTCCTTGCCACTGCAAAATACCAGCTAGCGCCTGTCAAGGAACAGCGGCGCGATCCTATCTCATACACGCCAGAAACAAGTTATTCTTCGTGAATGGCCCGCCAGGCTCGACGAATAATCACAGTTATTCAGAAAAGAGACAGGGACTTCCACAATGGCAAATTATTGATTATTCAAAAGTGGTTTACACTAGCTGAGCCGCTCAGTCCACTTTCGGCTCCATTCTGCGAAGCAGAATTAAACGCTGTCTCTGAAACGCACGCGATGAATCGAAGTTGAATATTGTGTGAGTACTCTATTCACAATATAGGTTTAAAATATCCCAAGCATTGATAATCAAACACATTGTGCCAACCGGCGCTATCCGAATGCAACCATACACTCGGAAGCCTTCACACTTGAATGATACCCGATAATGAAATATTTCTTGCGATCACTTTGCAATTCGAGTTGATCTTGTATATAGAACTATATGAAACCTAATCCGGTCTATGTTCACCCACCTTACTTACACAACCCACACACACTTTAACACGCACGCATGCAGGTAATCTCACACATAGCTGCCATCCCACAAACCTCTAGTTTCAGTCCTCTGATTTATAGCAGTTTCAGACTAACCTGGCATGGCCCACAGCGAGTGGAGTGAATCTAGCAAATTCTCAGGATGTAAATGAATGTGACTGATTGCGTAGCAAAACCTGTATCCTGTCGCCGCGTGCTATACCGATATATTTCTCTACGCGACCATTATTTACTGAACGTACGTACGCACATATCTGTTGCTAGCTACGGAATAAAACTTCTCACGCACAGTGTAAAGTATCCACTAACAGAACTTGTCGATGTGTTGACATCCGCAGCACACATCCTGCACGTGGTACGTGTCACATATATATAATATATATAGCACATGTATGATTACCAATACATGCATGACCCATCATACTGTCTGTATTCACTGAATCGTCTTGTATATATATGTGCGTGTGCATGTGCCGGTGACACATAGTAGCACATGCCGGATGACATTCACAGGACCTGATATGCACATAAATGAGATGGAGAGTGATTGATGGCGCCAATTGACGAGCACCGACTGATTCCCCGCAAGCCCGACGAGCAATAAATCAATTGATGCGCCCGCTCTGATGCCATTTATGGCTTCCGGATCACAGATTGTCATTCGATAAACATTTCGCCACGCGCGTAACTAATTAAACTAAAAAACATCACCACTCGCAATCAGGTCATCAGCATATGTGCCATCAGCATCCGCGGTGCGTTGTGTTTGCGCCCTGTCGTGCGATCGCGGGCTGATCGCATGCCCTGCCAACCCCGATGCTTTTGAAACCATCGTGTTTGCATACACTCGCGTGCGCACGCCGTTGTATATATATATATATATATATAAGTAGCATGTAGCTAAACACGGCCGCCCCATTTACATCAAATAAGATATATCCTGCTACGAGTGCTTTTCCAGTTGAGTACCATTTCGGTCAACAATAGAAGCATCAGTAATGACCAGGAGAGTTAAAACATTTGTGCTGGTACAATAGGGACACCCCCGCTGGTCGGGCACCGATCACTACAATACCGTGTCTAGCACCGCCAAATCTCCGCCGCCACGGCACAATGCATGCAAACGACTGTTTGCAAGCCGCTGCATTGTACAGGCGTGTCTGCGTGTGTGCAATATTGGTTTCATTTCGGCTTATTTTCCCTGCGCCTGATGCGCGCACCCGTCTCTATCTTTCTAGCACCAAGGACTCTCGTTGATAGCCATTCATCCACGATGGCAAAATAGAGGCAGGTACACACAGACACACTCACACAACAGCGCGCAAGCACACGCACGCACGCACGCATCGCTAGGCGTAAGTATCATTACTGTACCAGTCAGTGTATCATTGACCGGTACTCACCGTTGACCATGCGTGTGTGTGGGTGGGGGGCGTGTATATGTGTGTGTGGGTGTGGGGGCGTGTATAATATGTGTGTGGGTGGGGGGGGCGTGTATGCGTGTGTGTGTGTGTGGGGGGGGGGTGACTGTGTGTGCGTGCGTGCGTGCGTGAGGCTTAATACTTATTATAGCAATAAATACATTGTACTACGCTTTGTGTAACAAACCATCGATTACGCTGCTCAATGTCAAAAGTCCGCTAATTAAAATACAAATATAGGACTACCACACGGTAATATCACGCTGATAGGAACTACTGAAAACGAAACCTGTACCATAAGATTTCAAGTATCAATAAACCGTGCGGAAATATGCAGGTATCACTGCTGGATAGATACGTACGGTACATATTTACATACCGCCGCTCGCACCTGCGGCTCTCATACTTTAGTCTTTCTTACTAGTAGACTGCCTCTGGTAGTCGTTGTTGGCATCAAAGACATTTGTCGGTGCAGCCGTAGAGACGTTTGGAGCGCGTCTACTTCTTAATGACGAATTAACGAGAGTCTATAAAGCCCGGCGCACACGTGAGTAATTTTACTCAAGTAAAATGACGCATGAGTCATTTTACTCACGTATGCAGCAGATTTTCGTTGAGTAATTTGACGCATGCGTTATTTTACTCAATATCAAACGTGTTGATGCTACGTCAGATTCATGATGCTACCAGGAGTCTATCAATAGATATCAAAATATATTGATAGACTCATGATGATACTCACTGTGAGCTTAGATGGCACTCTCGCGTCCATGCTATAGACATCTATAGTGGTCGCGAACGGGGCGCTCCCGCGCCGCTTGCTGTACGCAGGCCGCTCATGCGCCGACGAATCTACAACGAAACAGAACACATTACAAACCATTCGTTGCGACGATGAAACCCTCACGTTAACCAGAAAGTTTGCCCGATTTAGAATGCACTGACCAGGCTTCACAACGGACACACCACATATACCACAACAGATACGCGACAGATACCACAACAGACACTCTACAGACGCCACAACAGACACCACGGAGCATTATTACACGATGCGGCGCAGCAAACAGTCAGACACTGCTGCTGTGTAGCATCCTCTGTCCACCCAGCATCATTGCACGCGGTAGCTACGTACACATGTGTGCGACACAAGCACTGACGATCACCAGCTGGGAAATGTTTAAAACACAACCCAATAAAAAAATCACATAAGTTGAAAATTGCCACACGTTCCCCCAACGCAACC